CAATCTCTCTGTCCTCTCTCCTCGATTCTGCCTTACACACACACACACACACACACACACACACACACACACACACACACACACACACACTGCGCAGGCTAATTTCTTTTCCAGGGGTTAGATAAGGATTACTTGCCCACCGAGGCTTGCAGGGCGGCAAGAGGTTGGTCCGAGGCTAAATTCACTTGCTGCTGAGGTGCGGTGTGAGAGCAGCTACAGGATGGAAGCTGTTTTAAGCAGCAGCTCTGCTCAGTGGTTAGGGGAGTAATCGCAAGACCCTCAACTTTGCCTCTTGTTTCCCCTTCCATTCGCGTCACTAAAGAGTTAAATGCTGCTGGGTTTGAAACCCTACCCCCTAAGCCGCTCCACTCCCCCTCCCCTTTTTTGGTCTCCCCCCCCCCACCCTCCCGCGCGTCGCTAGGAGGTCATCAAGCGCTCTGCCCAGTCCGCTTTCTCAAGCCCCTCTGTTTCCCGCCCATGCAGCCCCTGGCTGCTTACGAAGAGGTGTGTGCTCACCGAGGGGCGTGTTCCAGCACAGGGACACGCTGCGCGCCCCCGGCTTAGACCTCAAAGCGTAGCCAGCCATGGAGAGCGGCCACGGAAAGTTTGGCACCCCGCAAGGGGACGTCGGACTGGAGGGGGCGGGTCGCCCGAGGGCTCCTTAGCTCTCCAATCTTAGAGGCGCAGGCTGCCCAGACCTGAGGCGGCGTGCGGCAATGGACCACGAAGCTGCCGCGGCCCAGGGCACTGCCCTGGCTCAGGATGGAGAGCAGCCTGCAGAGTCCCCGGAGCCGCCGCCGCCCTGGCCACCGCCGCTGGCCCTTCCGCCTCCGGCTCCTCCACCTCCAGCTCCTCCACCTCCAGCTCCTCCACCGCTCCCCGAGCTTTCGCCAGACCCAACACCAAAGCCCTGTCCAGATCCTGCTCCAGGACCCTGTCCGGAAGCGACTCCAGAACCAGCCACAGAACTAGACACAGAATTTGTCCCAGAGCCGGCCCCGGAGCCGGTCCCAGAACCAGCCACAGAGCCGGCCCCGGAGCCGGCCCCCAAACCAGCCACAGAGCCGGCCCCTGTGCCGGTCCCAGAATCTGCCCCAGAGTTGGCCCCAGAGCCGGTCCCAGAACCAGCCACAGAGCCGGCCCCGGAGCCAGTCCCAGAACCTTTCCTAGAGCCGACCTTAGAATCTGCTCCGGAGCCGGTCTCAGAACCAGTCCCAGAGCTGGCCCCAGAGCTGGCCCCAGAACTTGCCACGGACTGGGCCCCAGAGTCCTGCCCTGAGCCAGCTCCAGAATCCTGTCTGAAGCCAACTCCAGCACCATGTCTATTGCAGTGTCCGGTGGTCCCTGGAGAGAGGGGCCTAAAGACCTCGCCATTGCCATCGCCCCGGACACCAGTGACATGGTCCAGAATAAAGGTAAGAAAAAGACCCCTCTCTGGGTGGGAGAAAGAAGCAAGGGAGGACTCAGGGTACCCCTTGCATGCTGTTTGGTTGCCAATGACTGACCAAGATACTCAGAAAGATGCGGGAATGGGGGAGCCGTGGGGAGTGGGAAGCTGTTGGGAGGCGGGAAGCAACATGTGGGAAGAGAGAGTGGGTTGTTTCGGCTAGGAATGGGGGGTGACAGCAGAGGTGGGAGTTGGAGCAGTTTTCCCCATGGGGGGAAGTGACAGTGTGGTGAATGCCGGTGGAAGGCTCCCTCGGGAAGTGCAAGAGAACTGAAGTGTTTGTAGCTGGACCGGGGTACACAGCAGATGGGATTGAGTGGGGGCGGTGGGACACACCTCTTAGCCATGGTCAGTGCCGCAGAGGCCCAAGCTGCAGAGCCGCCGCCTGCTTGGCCCACTCTCTGACATTGAGGAGGGGGCACCTCAGCCGGGGCGCAACTGGCGACGCTCTAGGGAGGTGCCCGGTGCCTCTGCGGGCTGCTGGGCGCTGGTACTCCAGGTGGGGAAGAGGGGATGGGTGGCGCCCACGCGCACTGCAGGGACAGGGCAGTGTTGGCAGGGAGGAGGGGGAGAGCATGCGTGTGCTGGAGCCACCATTCCATCTGTCTGCAGGATTTCCCAGCAGGTAGGTGCAAACACAGTGATACAGTGATGTGCCGCGTCACAAGCTGGCAACCAGCATCCCGCACCAGGACCAATTGGAATGGTACCAGAGTCTGGTTTAAAGATATGAAAATAGCAGTTGGGGTTTGAGAACATGTGAACCAGAACCCTCATCTCTGTCTACAGCGATGCTTTGGAAAACATTCCACTTAGCCAGGAAAAAATGAATGAAGGGTCCTCAGGCACCCGCCTAAGCCTAAGCCAGAAGAAGGAGGAAGGTTTTCCGTGTTTACCTCGGACTCCCACTCCCGAATCCCAGTCTGTTAGCTTTTCAGTGGGAATCTGTCTTTCCTGCTGTTTCTGGTCCCCCTACTCTTTCCCCAAAACTTTATTCCAAGAAACTGAAAATCATGATAATGCATATGTACACCTCACTTTAGCTTCCCCGGAAGGAAAACACACACACAGAGGAAAAAGCAAATAACACAACACACCAACAATGCCAGTCCATTCTGATGCTTGGCAGGGCTGAAGGACAGGGCTTGGGAACCCTCTTGTTGTGGACCACACACTTGTAGAATGTAGAATGCAGGGGGCGGGGGCAGAGGCTGGTATCGCGAAATGGAAGTGGTGCTTGCTTCTTGAGTGCTGAGCAGGGAGGCTTGAGTTTGCAAAATATCAACAATGATAAATGACTAAAAGGGGAAGGCTACAGAGAAAAGTTTCACAGAAGACAAAAGATGCAGAGAAGAATTTATTATTTCAAAAATAAATAAATAATATAGGATGGTAGGGACTGTCATTAAAAAAGATCCAACACTCCCACTCTCACCAAGGGATGAACCCTTCCCCTTCCTGCAGCTACCCTCCCCCACGATGATCTCAAGAAAGGAAAGCATCGGGGCAGCCAGACAGTGAGGCCACCCTAACTAACCCCAAGGTTGCTCCTGTTTTTTTGGCAGAGTTTGTATTGAGTTGGTGGGAGGGAGATGAGCAAGAACCACCTGACCTTTGGCTATCTTAAGTGAAATTTTGGAACCTGAAGAGAAACTGACACCTAAGAAATTGATCACCAGGATAGTCTGCAGATGCATCTCTTCTGTGGCCTATTTCAGAAGGTAGACTGGCGACCAGGAGGGACCCAGCCCCAACCCCAAATGACATCATTCCCTAGTATGAAAGCATCTCCTATCAGCTTGACAGGAAAAAATGCTGCCAGATAAATATGGAGAATCAAGACAGGGGAATCAGGTTAGCTCCTGTTGCTACATAGCACCCATTTAGATATGATGGCTGCCTGGCTCACAGACACTTAGCAGTGCTGGTAGAAGACAAAGACCCCAGGGCTTTGACTTTGCCTTTGGAAAAGGCAGACATCTGTTGAGGCATTCATCTGCGGAATGGGATTAAGAGCCCTAACCATCTATCAGGAAGGTCATGTCGATTTAATGGATAGTTCTGGAAGATTTTAAAGGATGCAAAAGATTTAGATAAATGCTCACATTGCTAGGAGCCCAACCCCTCTCCAGTATCCTCCATGTTGCTATCCAGTTGCTCTCTGGTGCAGTTGGGTATATGAGCTTTTCAGTGATAGGACTAGTTCCTTCACTAGTCCTTCTGCATCCTCAAGCAAGTAGCACCTGCAACCAGCTGACTTGATCTTAACATTCAAGGCAAACAGGTTGCCATTTTAGCTAGGGAGACATTATTCTCTAACACTGCCTCCTTGAGGAAAGCTTGGGAAAACACACACACATTCACACACACACAATCAAGGAACAAAAGAAAATACAAACTTCATCATACAGTGAAATCATACATAACAAGCACTAAAACTAGCCAGAAAATTCAAAAGAAGAAATGAACAAAACTAAATGCTTGGATAAGACTGCAAGTTTCTACCTGGTAATTTTGCTGACTGATAATTGCAGTTAAAAAAATCTTCCAGTCTGGGGCTGGTGGAGTGGCTCAAGTGATAGAGCAAAGCCTAGCAAGCGTGTAGCCCTGAGTTCAAGCCCCAGTACCACCAAAAAACAAGAACAAAAAAACCTTCCAGTCTGTAGTCTGTTCTCCTCAAGGGTTTCAATAAGGTTTCAGGATCTTGCTGGTTGCATTCTATGCCAAGCATGAGGGTAGAGACAGAGAAGTGGGGGAGGGTTCATGGTTTCTTTCCAAATAGCTACCAGAGTAACAGTCTGTGAACCAAACCTACCTGTTCCTTCCATTCTAAAATGTTTTGATTCCGAGGAAATGAGCCATGGTCTCCCACCTGGTGGTAGTAAGTGTAAGGATGTGTGAATTGGTTCTTTTAACAAGGCTATAAGTCTCTTGGGGGGAGTGGGGTTTATATGAAGAGGACCATATTTGTTTCTCTCCCTTCAGCTGTCCTTAAAGAAAGACAGTTTGCATTTTTATTCACTGAATTTTGACCAGCTACGAAATGATAATCACACTGTACGAGTAATTGGTGAAAATTTAGGGAGAAATTCATGTTTGTGGCTTTCATTTGTGAAGAAAATGCTCTGTGTATCACACAGTGATTGCCATTACCCCAAAAGCATAACATGCTTTTGCACACAAAACTGGTATTTTGACACACATTTTCTTGTAAAAATAGCAATCAGCAATTTATATGTCTGATCATTTTTAACTGAATATTTTATTATCTTACCTATTTGTGAGCTTCTCAAAAGTAGGACTGTCTTTCTCAGTGCCTGGCACAATGCAGCCCTCCCTGGTTTTGCTCAATAAACACTTTCTGAAGCTTGAAACCTATCAACTCCATTCCTAGCAATGTAGAGGCAGATGCTATGAATGAATGAAAATGCATTCTCATTAGTTTCAGAGTAAGAAGTAAATGCTTATTTAAATAGCCTAGCATATATAACCTTTAAGGAAAAGCAATCTTTCCATTTTCAGGATGGATATTGAAAGCATAATTAAGAAGCAAATTACTAACAATTTTAAAAAATGGTTTATAAAGTGCCCTTGTACCATGCAGTCCTGACAGCAGCAGACTAATGATGATGTTGTTGGTTTCAGGGGCAATAAATTTTTTCCTAAGTGAACAGAATATTTGCAGTGACGTTAAACATCTTTGGGATTATAGATTCAGATGTTTAACCTGTTGAAGGTCAGAATGAAATTACTTTCTTTCTTCTTAGGCTGTTTCCCCCTCTTGCCAGGCTTTAATGGTACCATCTGATTTATTTGGTATATTTTGAGAGCTCCTGAGTATTTGCTGTAGGATGTTCTAGAAAAGTGAATGAGGTATTTGGTCAGTGGGTGTTTCCTTTCTGGGAGGACAATTATGTGTTTATAAAAATCTCCAACTGCAGCTTTTGCGGATCTTCAGCCCCAAAGGCAAGACTGAGCCTTTACTTAAAGTGCCTCCAAGGGAAGATGGAAATCTGTAGAGACCAGTAAGCCATTCATTAAAATAAAGATTGTATATTTTTTTCTACTAGTATGATACTTTACAGCTTACAGAATACTTTCCTCTGCATTATTAACTCTTTTATTTCCCTGAAGAAGGCAGTCAGGTGGGGAAGGGCAAAGATTAAAACCTGACAGCTGGATATAATGACTAATTTATGTATTGGAGCTTTTTAAAGCATCCAATATATGGTTTTCTGTGACACATAGGAACTTCATTTGTCTAAGAACAGTATTTTAGCTGACATTTCATTGGTTCTGAATTTTTTCCAAAGCAATGATCGCTGCTCCACTTCTGACGCTCCCAGAGAACAGGAGCCTGAAAAGGAAAAAGTAGGAGCACAAGACCTTGAACCTATTACTCACAAAGAAGACCTTTTTTGGCAAGAAAATAAATAGAAATCTTGCTAAGGATAGGGATAGGGTACCCAACCTTTCTAAAGCCTGCCAACTACAATTCCCTTAGTGGAAAAAAAATTTTAAGAATTAAAAAAGAAATCAAATAATCATTCCTAAAGGGAGATGTCCCACCCTCATCAAAGAAAATAAACCTTATTCTAAAAATAGAAAAACAAATTTATGAATTTTTATGAAGTAAAGAAAGACAAAGTCACTGTAGATAATGAAACATCCCTCCTCCAAAAATTATTAAAAGAAAGTCTAAAGAGAAGTGTTCCTTGCTCTCATCAAAGTCCATGAAGCTTCAATTCCCCAAAGAAAAATTATGAAAATAAAGAGAAATCATTGTAAGTTTTTCAATATTTCTAAATTTAAAAAATCACAAAATTTATACTTTATTTGCATTCCATGGCCCATGCCTATTGTCTGGTGCAAATTATGGTGACAAAAATAAATCTTCCAAAGTGGAGCCCCACCCACCTCATCAACTCTAACATCTTTCTTCCAATTCTATGAGATGCCCAGAACAGG